TTTATTGCTTCATGACGCCGAAAAATGTATGTATTTCCATAATAATATAGTTCTCATGAGATCCAGATGTACACACATCGAGCACGAGTGATATATCATAGTTCGTTGCTACACCCAAATAAATAATGTTCGTTAACAGTGCATATAGATAATTTCATCACCTCTTTGTCCACTGCGTACTTTGATATTTGGGTGTAATAATCCAGATTGACACACGTAGGTGGTGAGAGCAGGGGGAGTGGTATGGTAAAATATCAGGGTATGACAAATACAGGAAAACACATGATCAGGATAAACCTAATACCTTTTAGGTGGTTGTATTATGTAGTCAAAGTATCAACGAGGCTCAGTGCCAACCTGCAGCGCGATGTTTGACGTGTGAAACCCATTTTATTGTGGGTCGAAAGTATAACGGTTGTCGATAACGGAACATCATCATCGCATAGTCAATATAGTCATAGTCAATATTACTTTCAATCGTCCATTATTTGATTTATTGTTATACATTTTTATATTTTTTTTTTCATTTTTTCTCCGAAAACCGCATGGAAAGTATACTGATACATTATATGTAAAAAGGCGACATGGTTGAAAATGCCATGTCTCGCTCGAGTCTTAATTTTTATGACATTTTAAGCTCGACCACGTCGATAATAATGATAGTATGTAATAATGTTGCGTGGGCAAAATCATCAAAGTTTGCTCGTTAAACGAAAATTCTATTTTAAATAGCGGTCACGTTACCATACATTTTGATAATTTATGTTTTGTATTTACGCACAGCGATCGCTGAACTACTGGTAGTATAATATAATACTTTAAATAGTTATACTATACTATACTATATATATATATATGTAGATCGTTATAGAAACGCGTTTAAGTAAAAACTGTTGCGACTGATGAAAAACATTATCCGTTAGTTTTCTTTCTCTGTGACTTTATATACATTATTTAAAACACGTGTATAAGTCGGCACTTTGATAATTATTGTTAATGTTCAAAAATCATTGAACAACTACAGGTAGAATAAATTATATTTAAATATCCGTAATCAGTTGCCAACGTCACACTGTTCGATGCACATGCGTATTATTACTCTCCGCAAAATGTTGTGATCTCGCTTTGGCTCTTTATCCGAAAATTAAATTTTCACATATATAAATACGGCGAGATTCGACCTCTGCACGAGACAAACATGTCACAATCTCTAAACAAAAGTAACAACAAAAACAAAAATGCCAATATACAGGTCGGTTACCTGAACAAGCAACAAAATATAAATAATATATCACTCAATACCGACAACTTCGATGAATCTTCGAATGACGGGTGGACACATTTGCCTAATAAAAGAAATCTATCAGATTCTTCCGAACCGCGTTCTCCTGATCACCTTGTAAATAAAAACCAAAAATTATTTATAACTAGAAATCGCTACGAATCGTTGCAAGCTAAACCTCTCATCACGCAAAACTCTATCGCTGACAATGACATACAAAACTCTACCTCTGAAACTCCTAACTCTGTCAATCCAACCAAACCACCACCACCAATTTTTGTGAAAGGCATACAGAACTTTCCAGATCTCTGTGCAGCACTAATTGAATTAATCGGAGTCGACAATTTTTTCTGCAAATCGTCGGCAGACAGCTTGAAAATTCAAACCGCAAATCCCGTTGCATATAGAACATTGATCCATTTTCTAAGAGAACAAAATGCCCAATTTCACACGTACCAACTAAGGGAGGACAAGCCTGTTCGCATCGTCTTACGAAACTTACATCCTTCTACATCCACTGAACTAAAAAAAAGTGAACTCGAATTACGCCTCTTCGAAGTAAGAAAGGTCACAAATGTCCTACACAAGACCACTAAATCGCCATTACCTCTGATTTTTATCGATCTCGAGCCCACTGACCACTCAAGTGAAATCTTCAAACTCTCTGATTTTCTCCACACAAAAATCAAAATGGAAGAGCCCTACAAACCGAAAGTGATAAGTCAGTGTCTGAATTGCCAGGACTATGGCCACACAAGAGCTTACTGCGGATATCCTTCACGCTGTGTTCGCTGCAGCGCATTCCATCCATCCACAGAATGCACCAAAAAACGTGACACAGCAGCCAAATGCGCCTTGTGTTCCGGCGACCACCCGGCCAACTACAAAGGCTGCATTGTCTACAAAAAATTACAACGTCGTAAAACACCAACCACAAAAAGTAACTTCTTGCATGATAATATTAAACATAATGTAAATAATTATAATGTAAAAGCAAACCACCCATTACCAACCTTATTTGGAAATAATTCTGATGCCTCCCCTAAAACGTATGCTCAGACCACTTCTAGTCAACCATCACTGTCCTCTTCTCCAACCCCCCCTACTGATCTAACTTCAACCATATCTTCCTTTGTGGACGAACTAAAGTCACTTATTAATCCGCTGAACGCTCTACTAACTCAAGTAATTATTTCCCTTCTTAATAAAAAAAATGAATAAGTCATACACTAACGATTCCTTATCAATTATATTATTCAATGCAAAGGTCTAAAAAATCACGTCAATCAACTGCAGAGTGTTCTATTCGATAAGCGCATCGATATCGCTCTAATCTCCGAAACCCATTTCACTGAGTATTGTTACATATCTATTCCTGGTTATAGCTTAATCAAATCTAACCATCCAGACGGCACAGCTCATGGCGGAGCAGCCATACTCATTAAATCTAATCTTAATTACTACCCACTAGCCAACTACTCTCAAAATCATTTCCAATCATGTGCCATCTCAATTACAATTAATAATATTCCTGTTACTATCACCGCAATCTATAGTTCACCTAGACATAATCTAACTATTGACAACCTCACCAACTTTTTTGACTCAACGACCAATAACTTTATTATTGGTGGTGATTATAACGCGAAACACCAAAGCTGGGGTTGCCGAGTCACCAATCATCGCGGAAACTTGCTCTACAATTTCACCAATAAAACAAAGTCACCCGGCTTTGATCTGATTACAGCCAAAGTAGTTAGGTGCCTTCCCAAAAAAGCCATAGTACTAATAACATATATTTTTAATGCTATTCTAAGACTTTCATATTTTCCGTTGTTATGGAAATTCTCCAAAATAGTTCTGTTTCCTAAGCCTGACAAACCACTCGATACCCCTACGTCATTCAGACCAATACGTCTCTTGCCTTTCCTTTCAAAAGTGTTAGAAAGACTTATTCTAAGACGTATTATCCCACATATTATCACTAATAACATACTTCCGAATACCCAGTTCGGCTTCCGCAACTCAACATAGCTCGATGCATCAATTACATCGTGTTGTTGATGTTATTTCTATATCCCTTGAAAAAAAGCTTTATTGCTTTTGCATTTTTCTAGACGTTGCACAAGCCTTCGACCGGGTTTGGCATGAAGGCCTCCAATTCAAACTTAAAAAATTTCTTCCCCCCTCACTTTACCTATTAATTATATCTTATTTAACTGATAGGCATTTCCAAGTCCAATTTAATTCGTCGATATCAGAAATCGCACCAATCAAAGCGGGTGTACCTCAAGGTGGTATACTTTCCCCTTTTCTGTTTAACATTTACGTAGCTGACCAACCTACCATGCAACAAACCATCGTAGCGGATTATGCCGATGACAAAGTTATCTTATCCATCAATGAAGATCCTTTAATCGCCTCATCAAACTTTCAAGTACATCTTAACCACTTGTCTGAATGGTACAAAAAATGGCGAGTGAAAATTAACCAAAACAAATCTACACACACAACATTCACATTTAAACAAAGAATATGTCCAAACATTACCCTCAACAATGTATTAATTCCCACATCTGATACAATTAAATATTTAGGATTATTCTTTGATAAAAGACTTACATGGAAGAAACACCTTCAAACCAAACGGCTAACCTTAAACAATCGCATGCGCATGCTCAGACCTTTGCTAATTAGAAATAAGAACTCCACTCTAAACACCAAACTAACAATCTACAAAGCGTTACTAAAACCAATCTGGACATATGGATTCCAACTGTGGGGCGTAGCAAAAAAATCTAATACTAATAGAATCCAAACTTTCCAAAACATATCACTCCGACGATTATCCAATGCTCCGCCCTATATTTCAAACCACGCTCTTCATAATGATTTCCATATGAAAACAATAGATGAGGAAGCACGCACTTCCTACAAACGATTTCATAAACGATTCCAAACTCGTCCAAATCCTCTCATAAAAGATCTTTTCATCCTCACTCTCCCAGTAAATCCCAACCTCAGACTAAAAAGGAACTGGTGCCGTGACCTCTTAGAAAACGTTAATGTCTAACGTCTCATTATCAAAAAAAAAAAAAAAAATCTAACTAATCAAAGCCAAGAGTCACTAATGGGTGGTTGCTTAATTCACAACTTTCATGTCATTTAAATAACTCTCAACCTATAAACTTACTGTGCAAAACTGTATAGATTGTTTATTTCAAATAAAAATATTAAAAAAAAAAATAAAATGAAATAAAAATATCCGTAGTAAATAAACAAATTAAAAAAACCAAGATAATATCGTATACCTACTCTATACACATCAGGTACTTCATAATATATACCTATAATATATTATATAGTTATAAGTGTGATCGGGTAAATAAAAATATATAAAAATGATTTAAAGTGGGTCGAAGTCTATAAAAAATGACAAAATATTGAGCACAAAATTGTCTAAAATATATATACGTACATAAGCAATAAAACGTATTAAACAAACAATGGAACGTCTCAGGTATTTCGTCACTGCAGTGGCACATTAAGTGGTCATAAAAAAGTCATACAAAAGAGCTGTACACCCGTAGCATACACAACATTGTGTTCGCGTCGCTATAAACACTTTATACTTATATAACCGTTGTTCTTAAGAGGATAAAATGAACTTTGACTGTGTTCTGTACATTGTGTTTTTTTTATTTATTGTTTTTTACAGCTCCGTGATTCAGGTTGCCCTTTTCTGACGGACAAAGGACAATTGAGAGTACAAGTGGAATGGGAAGAGAGCTACTTGCTATTCCAAGCTACGTACCACAAGTACGACGACGTCAGCAGAACGCACAACTATCAGATGAGGTAATTCCATACAACATCCTATGACGGACATCACGGTAACGCTGTAATAATAATCATTGTTGTAAGATTTTAATTTTACACAAAATATACGCCTGGAGGTATTACCATAGGCGGAAAAATGTATGCCGCGCTCTGGCCCGAACTGACTAACGTTGTTATAGGATTGTGTGTTCGTAACGTTGGTCCCTCGTACAACGTATTAAAAAAATCTGTAAATGCATTGCCCTGTAGCGTAGCTTGTTAAATTAATATTAGCTATAGGATAGAACGGCTGCGTAATGTCCGCTGTCGGAAGTTCACCATGTTTTAAGATCGTATCGATTATTTTATCATGCATAACACGTCGAATAACCGAATCGACACGGGATGTACATCTATATTGTTCACATATCGAACCGATGCCGTAAACAAATAAGAGGAAAGTCAAGTCCCCCTCAAAGTGTTTTACATTTATTGCGACTTAATTATTGGTAGACGATAAATGTCGTTTCGGAGCCTTTGCCCGTTTAAAACTAGAAGAGAGTCCTAACCCAACTACCAATCAGAAATTACTGTAATTTTCGTACAATTCTACAAATGTACGTTTAATCTAGTGATTTTGATTAAAAAAAAAAAAAAAAAAAAAAATCATATTAAAAGTGCACCATCTGACAACGCAATTTACACAAACCCAGGTTTTAGGCGAGCGCAGATCTGTATTTTAAGGGGTGCCTATAATACTTTTGGGCCCTATATTAATAAAACGTGTAGAGATATATTTAATAAATTATTATATATAAATAATTAAGTAAACATAACTATAATTTATTATTTAATTTCGTGGTATATCAGTCCCAATTAATATGCTTTTCTTGAACCACATATATTTTTCTCAGTTAGCTATAATTATTCATGATTTATATTTTAGTAGTCAATTGTAGCTGTTTTATTGTTATAATAATTGTTTGCACAAAAAATTAGAATATTTTATTTTATATTACGAAAGATCGTTTATTTTTACCAAGTATTTTAGAATAAATTATATTTAATTTGAGCGACGTCAGTCGAGACACGGGCTTCTTATTCTTGGAATTGAGTTATAGGGCCTCATTTGCAAGATTTCGGGATGTGCCGCCCGGCACGCCTACGACCCAGATATACAAAATCAAACGATATTGACTCGCTGGGATTTAACGTTGTAAATAACAGTAGGTTAACAGATAAACTATCGACATGCAATGTGTTTTAATGCGAGTACGCGAATCGAAACTGTGCGCGCGTTCAAATACCTTCGCCAAAACCGCTTATTGATATCCTACTAAGCTCCTACCCGCAATTTTTCTTTTTTCCGGCCACGGCCTTGTTTCGGTGACGGGGTGACGTTTTTAATAATAATGTGCGTGTAATAATAATACGTGTAACAATACGGACCAACGGAAAGTTTCGAAAACATTTCGATCCGCGCGGTTCACTATCGTTGAATATTTAAACGCAACATTAAAAAATTTCCCATCACTTCGGTCGCGTACAACTACTGCACGTGACGTTTCGACGTGTACTACATGTACGTTGGGCGGGCGCGCGCGTTCGTCAACTTTACGGCTGAGACCCGCTTGACGTTGAGCCGTAGTACGCAGCCAGTGCCGTGTGCCGTTCGTTTTCGTTCTTTAAATGCACCGATATTCCGTACACGACGCGGCGCACTGTGGTGTCAGTTGGCTGAGGATCGGGGGGTGGGGGGGTGGGTAGAGTTGGGAGATGGGGAGGAAAACGTAAACCGTACGCGAGCAACATTCACGTCGAATACCCAAACTATTTTTATCGGCCGTCACGCGTTTTGACAGCGCACCTGAAATGTGTATTTTTCACTCGGCATTATTATTTCACGCACAGGCGGTAACGTTAAAAACACATATCGCATTTTTGAATGTTCGTTAAACTCCATTACCGCAAACCCGTATGTACGAATAGTTTATATCGAAGGTCTTCAAACTATGGCCCGTTAGCCGAATCCGGTCCGTGAACAAGTTTAAACCGCCCCCCTCCCAAAAAAAAAAAAATCAAAAAAAAAAACGGTAAATAACTTAAAAGTATGTGTAATATCCAAAGTAAGCACCGCGTACACGTGTCGATTATCACCTGTATTGGCTGTATCATAATTTTGGCCCGTTAAGAGATTTTGAAATTTTATGTGGCCCTCGAATGAAAAAGTTTGGAGATCCGTGGTTTATATGATAGACGGTCCGAGTTTGAAACGATACGTGCATTGTGGCATCCACAAAAAAATGTGTTTGGTTGAACACGGTTTAAATCAATACCATCCGTTGTTTAGCAGTCTAAACGTCCGTGGATCAATGGGAGAAAAAAAATGAAACACGATAAGTCATTTTTAACGTACGTGAAAAAAAAATCGCAATTAGTATAATTATATAAGTGTATTAGTGTATAAATATTAATATGCCTACGCAAGTAGATTGTATATATTTTATTATAATCATAAAAATATAGGTATTATTTTTTATATTATTATAAATATGAATAATAATAATGAATAATCGTTAAAATTTATCCAAGGAAACAGCCATTGTTTTTAATTTTTTTTTCACGCGTCTTATTTCGACATTTAAAAAATAATATCATGTTAATTATTGTTTTTTCCGTTCCAATAGATAAATTATATTTGTACGTATAAAAATTCAAACTTTTGCAAAAAAAAAAAAAATAATAATAATAATAATAAAACATTATAAGTCAGACTTAGTTAATAATAAAGAATAATTCTTCGAACGACTTGTTCTCAACATTTTTTTCAGTAGTAATAAATGTTTTTATATTACGGTAAAAAAATAAACACTTTGTGTAAAATGTTTTCATAAAGAGGAAAATATGCGCGAAATACATCTAAAAATGCCAATGATAATGAGTAATAATATAGTAAAATCTAAAGCGATTTAAGTATAATACAATAAAAAAGAATTAAGTTGCTCATTAAGGCGGGTTTGCCATTGAATTTTAAATCGATCATAATTGCAACCCTAGCTCGGTGACTACTGTATATATAAATATTTAAAAGTATGAAAGTAGGTGTTCAAGTATAATATATACAAGTATCAATGCGTATAAAATATTTTGAATATAGGATATGATATAAAACATTTCATATCAAATTTTGAAAATAAATAAAAGTAGGTAATCATGGAAAAGTTCTTGTCCATCATAAGAAATATTAATAAAAATTTCACATACTAAAAATCTCAATGTATTTTGTAGAATTTAAATTATTTTTGCTTTTAAATAAAACAAAATGGTTTAAACAAGTACCACCAATCCTGTATACTAAAATTATAATGAGATGCTTGCGAGAAACTTTTAGAGCATTTTTTTTACTACTTTAAATGGAGTTAACGTCAAAAAAAAAAAAAAAGAAGTAAAAAAATGTGTGTGTCTCCTGTCTAAGTTCAAAGTTTATAAACGTGATAAAAGGAAAATTAAGTCCTATGGTGATACATAAATCCTATTCAGGCTGTTTTCATTGAATTCATGCGTGCGTGTTCAGAGTACTTATATGTACTTTTGTCATAAATCAATTATATGATTTATCGAGAAATCACTGGTAACCGTTTGAAATAAATATTGGGTTACTGTAATAACTTTTTCGAATAAAAGAAAACGACAAATTACTAACTATCAAAACGTAGGATCATCGCCAAAACAGTTCGTGGTGTACGCAATACATTTTTAAACTTAATTTAATAAAATAAAATATATAATAGTTTATAAATTGTAATTTGTACGAATCAAATTCCTTAAAATTGGCAATTATAATAAAATAATAAACTCTTGTACTATAAGTAAAAGAATATTTTAAGATTATAAACCAATTATCATAATTTGATCACATACCAACTCATCTAACAACATATATTTATTTTCAAATAAATAAAAATTTAAATCCCTGTACAACTTGAATATGTCACATTGTAAAGTTATAATAAATAACAAGTATGAATATTTTATGTATTCAATTTTGATTAATTTCAGGTTTTAAACTTTTTTTTTTATGATTGTTCTAGCCTTTCGAAACATATTGCATACTATAATACCGTTTTCATTTCATTGTTTATCTCTATAGTGTATCCTTTAATAAATTTAAATCAAATATGGTGCTTATTAAAATATTTAGTAATAGATATTATCTATTCACACACTATAGCTATTTATAGTTAATATAATTGATTTTTGCAAAACTAATGTAGAATGTATGAATTATTATAATTAGAGACCGGAATTATATGCACTAAAAATGTGGCAAATATGATGCAAATATGCAAAGAAAAAGGGTCAAAATATGCATTAATATGCACAAATAAATGAAAAATATGCTCAAATATGCATTATAAATTTATATTACTTTATCAACTACAAACTTAATAAATTTATAACATAACAAATATAACAAAATTAGAGTGTTGGACCTTTCAACATCAAATTAAATCAAAAAAATATTTAAGTATAAAAAAAAACTATTATTTTTTGTTTTCATAACAATTAATTACAATATACATTTCCATATTTTGTGGGGTCATGTTGGTTCTTTTTCAGTTAATATCATTTTGTAAGTACTAAACGACCGTTCAACGTCCACAGATGTTATAGGTGCATATTTCATACAAGTACTCATCGTGGGTGTAAAATTTGGGGTTAAAAATTTTCTTTTTTCCCGGATAAAACATCTGATATCTGCTTCAATATTTTAAAACCATCATTTTTGTGTATTAAATCAGAAACTTTCTCTTTAATAATTTTTCCATTATTTCCGGACACCATTTCCATGTTTAAAATAGTTTCATTAACAATTTTTGTCGCATCAAACAAAGGTAAATTAGATGACTCTAATTTTTTAATACTTTTAACAAATATAAAAAAATTAGTTTTAATATATGCAAGATCAATTTTAACAGACTCTAACTTAAGCATATCTTCACATTTTTTTATACTGACCACATTTTTTTCTTTCAATT